GCTCCGTTTTACTTTATGGCTGTGAAACATGGCCAGTGAGAGTGGAAGATATTCGTAGGTTATTGGTTTTCGATCATAGGTGTCTTCGAAGCATTGCTCGTATATCGTGGGACACCCGAGTGAGCAACGCTGTTATTAGGAATCGGGTGCTAGGTAAGAATGGCAGATCAATCGATGAAGTATTGAAACTTCACCAGTCGAGGTGGTTGGGACATGTGTTGCGTATGCCCAACCACCGGCTGCCTCGTCGAGCCTTGTTTTGTAGTGTAGGAATAGGTTGGAAGAAAGTTAGGGGCGGCCAAATCAAAACATGGCAGAAATCCATGAAGTCATTGACTAGTGGACTGAGCCATGTCGGTAATTGTCGACTACCTGGTTGGGGTCCGCGAGATGATAATTGATCGATGGTTAGAGACCTTGAATGACATGGCTCAAAATCGTTCGCAATGGCGCAGGTGCATTTATTCTTTGTGTTCTCTCAAATCCTAATCTTCTGGATTCTTCAACCCCTCTAGTTTCGACTCTCTAAACTTTTCTCACTGAATCATACTTCTTGAATAATATCTTCTAATCCTAACCTCTCCGATTATTTCTAATTCCCTTACTACCTCTTCTACAATTGGATTTGAATTGACGATTACTTCTCTGTGCTGATGTGGTATGGCAACATGAACTGATGTACTTATGTACAAAGTTCTACGTTGCATTTGACTGACTGACTGAAGTACAATCAATAAGATGAATAGAAAAAGAATCGAAGAGGTGAGGAGAAAAATTGAACATTCAGGAAATGGTTTGAGTAAGAAAAACATTCAAAAGGTAAGAAGGAACATGTGACCCAACGTATCCCAACCTTTTGGTCATGATCATCATGCGGACACGAATCCGATAATCTGCACACAATAATAATACGAATTAATTCAACACTCAATGGTCTTTGTGAGCTCATAATGCGTTTTCATTTGACCATCCACAACTTACTTCTAACTTATTTCCACTTTAGTAAACATGATATGTTCGTTAAGTTGAAGAATGGTTGATCACACGTAATGCTTGTACCAAACGCATGAATCAATTAAAATTCACAACCTCATAAACTGGATTTGCCATTTTCCCCTAATACCCTATTCTCATCGTCAATATTTCTCACTTAATTATCCTACAACATGCGATGAATATTTTTTTTCTATGCATAAATTGTACGGGAGTATAAAAAACTGAGTAATTTTGTTTGTTTTTTTTTAAAAAAAGGAAAGTTTTCTCCACAGAAAGATGATGATACTATACACACACAAAATGACGAATAATGAGAGAAAGGAGAGAAGTACCAAACAGATTATTAATCTACTTACTATATATAATTCAACATAAAATAATTTGCATAGATCATATTTTACTGATACGGTAGTTCAAAATTGTCTAATTAAATTCCGTCGTTATCCTTATTTAAGTTAGTTATTAAGGAATTCACTGTCCCACCTCTATTAGAATTATCTATCACTAATTAATAATTTGCAGAAATGATTACTTACTTACTTACTTACTTACGCCTGTTACCCCCAATGGAGCACAGGCCGCCCACCAGTTTTCTCCAACCAACTCTGTTCTGGGCTTCCCTTTCCAATTCTGTCCAATTTTCGTTCATTCTTCTCAAATCTTTCTCTATTTCTCGGCGTAGTGTGTTCCTTGGCATTCCTCTTTTCCTTTTGCCTTCAGGGTTCCATGTGAGGGCTTGTCTAGTGACGCAGTTGGGTGCTTTTCGTAGTGTATGTCCTATCCACTTCCACCGCTTCTTCCTGATTTCCTCCTCCATTGGAATCTGACTTGTTCTCTCCCACAGTTCGTTGTTGCTGATAGTGTCTGGCCAACGAATACGAAGTATTTTGCGTAGACAGCTGTTAATAAACACTTGTATCTTCTGAATGATGGCTTTCGTAGTTCTCCATGTTTCCGCTCCATACAGTAGAACTGCCTTGACATTTGTATTGAAAATCCTGATTTTGGTTTTGTTTGAAAGTTGTTTGGAGTTCCAGATATTTTTCAACTGTAGAAATGCAGCCCTTGCTTTGCCAATCCGCGCCCTCACATCTGCGTCCGATCCACCTTTCTCGTCGATGATGCTGCCAAGATATGTGAAGGTGTTAACGTCCTCCAAGGCATCTCCATCAAGCGTGATTCGGTTGGTGCATGTTGTGTTGCATCGGAGAATTTTGCTTTTTCCTTTATGTATGTATGATTACTTGACCAAAATTAGTACAATCACACACAAACAAAAGTATGTATCCTTTTTTTCTCTCCATTAATTGTGTAATTAATAAGTCAATAAACAATTACCGAATAATGTTTTCGTCTTAACTATTTTTTTTAACTAACTCTTTCAATGGGAAGGAAGTTCAGTCAGTATCAATGCAAACTGAGTATGTTCTTTTGCCTACCAAGTAATTAAAATAAAAGTAGTCATCTGTAAATATCTAAAACTATGATTACCATTAATATTACTACTACTATCAACTAATCTAGTTAAATTTCATTATTTCCAATCCCATTGTAACTTATCATTTACATACACAGCCTACTACAATTAACTAAACAAATAGATAATTTGGACAAAGTAATTTTAGGAAAGAAAAAAAAATTAATAGCAGTTATCATCATTAGGCTAATAAGTTTCTATACACATTATCATTATCATTATGAATATTCTCTAAGTGGCTGCTGTAAATCAAAAAACAATCTGAAATACAAGGGATAAATAATTAACAAAAAATCGATAAGGTGAGTGGATGAATGAATATATTTCATTATGATTATCATGATTATGATAAATAATATTTGTTGTTACTATTAATATTATTATTATTACTATTATTATTATTATCCCGGTTATCTTTCTTTCCTATTTAATAATCAGTAAATCAAATTGGTAGAAAACAAAATCTGCCTCCTATCTTAGTGTCTTCTTGTTTGGCCTTGTTTGACCAATCGGAAAACAAATTGTCTATACATATATGTATATACATCATCACATGTAGACATTATACACAAGAGAATGTGACAACAAAAGTAAGAAGAAGAAACACAATGAAGCAAAATTAGGAGACAATGAAAATAATCAAAACAAACACCTTCAAATACTGTAGATTTTTTTTGCATCCTTGATAGCTAGCTTTTCACAACCTTCAACTACATACAAAGCCAAGCTAGCTAGCCAACCAACCAACCTCGTTCACTTACTCACTCACTCCTAACCGAACCACCCACTAGTGGAGAAGTCTTTAATAGCACATACTTTATAATATTGTTACGTCTGTTTATCTTCTTTCTGTTTTTCGTTGTTGTTGTTGAAATATTTAACAATGAACACAAAAACTACAATTCATTTGTTTCAAAGTGAAAATAGCCAAATCAAAAAAAAGGTCAACATGGCAGTTTGTTTGAATACTTTTTTTAAATTGGAGACAAAAGAAATAACAATCATCATATTAGCGAATAGTGTGAAATATAAATCCCACCATTTAGAAAAAATAATAAGACATAATAATATGAATTAGGATAAGTTGTATGAATGACTTAATTTAAGGAGATATTGTTGTTGCATTACGCGTCATTGATATGTTTTGTCTACTGGAATTAAGATAAATTGCATACACACACATATATATTCTTTCTATCAGGTTTGAGTCGTACTGCTGACTGCGGAGGGGTGTGACAGCAGTAAGGTGTTTCCCTCGGACAACCAGCATCTGCAGCGATGCTGCCTTCTCACAAGGAAGGAAGGGTTAGAAAAGGTCCACCCTAAAAATGTCACACCTCACCCTACCTCACGGATTTCTGTCTCCGGTGGTAAGGGTGCCCACTAAGGGCCTTTACGAGCGGAGCTAATACTCAAAAATCGTTTCATCAAAAGGCCGTGCGTGACAGTCCTGAAGCAGTTGTCTCTTGGACTCTGCGGTCACGCACCCAGGCCTCCAAGACCAACACTAATCTATCTTCATTTTCAGGTCCTTCAAGAAACAACCTTCCACGGTGTGGGCAGCCGGGAAGTGACAACCACCCTCATACCCGTAACAATTCTTTATATCAACAGAAAAGGAAAATTCCAGAAAACAATTTCTCAGTTTATCTGATTACATTTTTTTTCTAAATCATCAAACGAATTGTATAAAAATAATAATGAATTACAATTATTGTTATGTAAAGAAAGATTAATACTCTACGTAATTCTAATTGTTGACTATTGTTTAAAAATAGTTCTTATTCAAAACTCGGTCAGTTATATGCTCAGTGTGAAATCTGGCACGCACGCCCACACACACATATATGAATCAGTTCAAGTGGTCATACGATGTTAGTATAATGAGATGAAAACTTAAAAAAACAAATACCAGGGTAGTAGTAGTAGTAAAAGTAGTAGTAGCAGTAACCAAAGGTAGCATATAAAAATATCGTATAGAATTTAAAAAAATAAGTAATTCAATAATAACCATATCCAGTATAGAGGGAGTGGTGGAGATTGTTAGGTAGATATTTCCACATCATCAGATCCCAACTTGTTGATCTAAAAGACGAATGTTTATCTTTTAAAAGCCTGAAGGTTTGATGATTACCAGTATTGTGAATGTACACTTTCAAGGAAACAGCTTGTTGATGTTCAACGATGCTCGATCTAACGTAAGCCAGTGATTTAACACTAAAAGTACGAACTATTCGCTGTGCATAAAACAACACCTAAATTCATCAATATAATAAATGGTCTTCCACGAAAAGGATTTACGGTTTCAAGATATTAGTAGTGTATAAAAGGAATCAGAGTATTTTGGACAAGAAAGGTGTTAGAAAAAAAAACTAGCCATAAGAACTAGTAGAACTGATTTTGCCCTGCAAGTTTCCAGTGCCAGTAGGTAAAGTTTCGGAAGTACAGAGCTAATCATACAGAAATCAACTGAGTAAAATTTCGAAAAGAGAATCGAGCACTCTTTTAAAAAAAAACCAATACTTACAAGTGTTTGCTTGAGAAACGCTTTTGTCCGTTTACGTTTTGGCACACCAGATCGACGCGCTCGTTTATAGGTTTGTTCAACCATGGGATTCATTCCAGGATTTTGTGATTCACTTAGTTTAGTGAATTCCTAAAGACATGGAGAAAAAAACAAAACAGAGGAAACATTTGAAAAATTCAGACGTAAATGATTTTTAAATATAAAATAAAATAAGTCAGCAATCAAACTTATTGAATACTGAGAATTTCTTAATATTCAACTTTATTTGAAGACCATAATGACGCTAATAGGTATGGATCTCAGTATCCAATATCATTTTGAACAATAAGCTTATCAAGTTGTATGATATGATTAGTAAGATAATAATCGATGGTATAGCATTCCTATAACAATCTAGCTATTAAGCTGTTGCCATAATTTAGCTTTTACAATCGGAGGAAGTGAAGTTTAGCTAACTTATTGATGACATTTATGATAGTAACATTGTGTTCAAATTTCAGAGTATCTAGCTGTCATTAACTATGTGTGTTAATTTACGATAATAAATGTCTTTAAGATTATATTCAAGCGAATATAATGAAAAAGCACGAAACCGATGAAAGGAAGTGTACCTGGAACGATTATGTATCTGTCTAAATGACCATAATTCAAAGTATAGTGAACGAAGAAATCGAGAGAGATCGAGAAACTAACGATAAGAAGTACAACTTTACAGGAACAAATAAAATCGAAAAATGAAATGTTTGGAGTGACACCAAGTTCAAAAGTTAGAAGATAGAGGAGATTGAACACAACTGAGCTATTACGATCGATTTCCAGTAAGGTCACTATTACCATGAGATGAGTATTAGAAAAGTCAAACTGTCAAACTTCAGTATTACCAACATGGCGATTCGGAGACTACAATAATGGTACACAGTCACCAAGTGTCCCCAGCTCACGAGTCCAAATTTCATAAAGAGTGAGCAAAACTGCTTTCACTGACACATGGACCCAACTAATATCAATGACTAAAGACCAATGATGAACTTATGTACATACGTACGAAGTTATACGTTGCAAATGATTGACTGACTGAATTAGATCACAAGTTCGAACCTCACTGCTAATAAGTTAGATCTCAGTATCTAATGAACATTGATAGCCAATAATAATAGAAAGGTTCAAAGGTGAATACAATTCTACACTTGTCAAATGAGTTACATTAACTTAAATTTTAAAATCACCAACTACTGTCTCTCCCACTTTGTACTTAAAATATCATTTTCTTTTTATTGATCATTTATTTATACAGTCAAATTACTACTAGATAGTTTTTCATATCACTTAAAAATGTAACCTACGCAAACTACTTGTCGTATTTTATTATAATGACAGAAAATAAAAAAAAACACTCTAACAGCAATAATACAATCAATCATACGGGTGGTCTTGAATTGAATTGATTTAAACAAAGTATTGCATTAGACGAAACAATTCATTACCATTATTAGTTGAATATATATCTTCATCATACCTACATTGACTAATAATTATAACAAGGAAATGAAAATAGGACATTGCTTTCTATGCTTTACACAACATCTCTTGAATATTATTAATTTCCAATTGCATTGATACAATAAGCCGAAAAAAAGAAAACAGAATCGATATATCTATTTATCAGTTTATATTATCACATTCTGGACAGTGATAATCGACAGGATTAAAGGAAAAAAGAAATTACTGAGTTCCGAGGGTTAAAAAAAAAAGTAACATAATGGAGTTTATTAGGTCAATAAAGAATAAAATTTACAATCTTTGGTGAGAACGTTTTTAGTAGTGTTAACCTAGTGAACGTAAACGGTGATCGGTTAATGGTTGCACGTAGTGAGAGATGAGAATTTTTAAATGTAACTCGCTTAGTCTCAATGCCTGTAATACTATGATGTATGTTGGTTTGGGCCTGTACTGTGTTGTTGATCGATATGTTGGATATGAGAGGCTGGTCACGTGGTCGAATTTATAGTGCCAAGGGAGTAAAAAGTGCTTGATACTATATAAAATGCTTATCCCATGTATTCAGCGTTTTAAATGTCCCGCCGAGGGATTTAAATGAGGATAGATGCACTTTTGACATTGCAAAATTTTTTTCACCTCGAATAGATTAAATAAAACTATTGCTCGAGCAACAGAACAGGTTAATTGAAGACTCAGTGATGAAAATAACTTTATCATTCAAATAATTAGCTTCCGTCACCAATGACTGCTGATACTACCACAAAAAATTTATTTTTAGTCTGAATGATAAAGTCATTTCTAAGCAATGGTTCAAACTTTACGAAGGAGTATTTTATTGACTTATTTTTTAGGCTGGACGAGTCAGAGCCTATGGTGAAATCTCGTCGCAATTGATTACTTCAAGTGGCGTTCATTAGGGTTATCCGCTTTCCCAATTCTTATTTAACTTTGTCACTGACATACTTTTAGAGACGAAACTTTCATCGTCTGACTTTTCAGGGGTTGGACTTAGACCAAGAGATTCACTTGTTGACTCACTATACGCCGATAACATAGTTCAGTTTAGTGAAGACTCTGACAAAATGCAGTCTTCTGATTACCTTATCCAACAATGCAAGCATGTTTGAGATTCGATTCCCTCCCTAGAAATGAAAAATGTCGCTTCCGGATTAGCTTGTGTCGGCATCTAAACTAGTGATAGGGAGTGAAGTAGGTGAGCTTGTTGACCACTTTACTTATTTCGGTAGTCTCATCAGTTCTGACGGCTTGGTGTCTGACGAAATCTCAGCACCGATACAGAAGGCTCGGTTGGCTTTTGTCAACTTGCGTCACTTATGGCGTAGCCGAGATATCTGTCTGCTAACCAAAGAACGAGTGTGGAACATAGCCAGTAGGGGTAAAGCATACTCGTAAGTTACTAGTATTCAATCGTAGGTGTCTTCAAAACATTGCTCGTGTATTCTGGGGCAACCGAGTAAGCAATGAACGGGTTAAGAATAGGGTACTAGGTAAGGATGACAAACCAACTGATGAAGAAATGAGGTGGTTGGGACATGTGTTACGTATGCCCAAAACATACTACCTCGAAGAGCAATGTTGTCTGATGTAGGAGTAGGCTGGAATAAAGCTGGGGGCGAACAAACCAAAACATGGCACTAATTCACGTCGTCACCGACAACTGGACTGATCCATGTTGGTAAATATAGACTACCTGGTTGGAGTCCGTGAGATGATAAAATAACCAATGGCAAGAGACTTTGAATGACGGCTCAAAATCGATTGCAACGAAACAGGTACATCCATTCTTCGTCTTCCCTCAGGTTCGAAACTTCTGGATCCCCTTTCAACTTTGTCTTTCTCTTTTTAAATTCATTTCAGTGAAATATACTTCTCGAATCATGTCTAATCTCGATTATCACTAATACTTCTACTACCTCTACTACTATTGGATTTGAGCTAAATATTCCGTGTCTTTGTGCTAATGTAATAAAGCAACTTGAACTGATGTACATACATACTAAGTTCTACATTGTAATTGACTGAGTGACTGAAACCACTGCTACATATGTTAGGCACATCAGAAATACTAGTAATAATCTAAAACCCGTCATAAGAAATTAATCAACAATCCTACGAAACGTCAGTTACAAAATTGGCCAGTCTAAAATTCGTAGTGATGCAGTCTTACTGGATGATAAAACCACAGCAATATGGATATACAAGAGTCTTAATGGTAAATCGAAGAGATATGGTGGAACGCGAAACAAGTACGAGCTCATGATAAGTAAATTTTTCAAAAAAAGACAATGTATTTCACAACCGGATGCAATTATGACCCCCACAAGAACGTCGATGACTCAGGCTATGGACCAAGTCAGGTGCATGAATTAGCCACGCTACTATGTCAGTCACTCGAGCAGTAGCTACGGCTTTCGGATCTCAACCATTAAGTCATAGGATCGAACCCTTGTGCCTGGTAAGTCAACATAATGATGCTGTGTGATTAATTCTGACGACTGATAAATTAGTTTATTAACGGCGTCAAAACTAACATGACTAGTCATGATAATTATTTTCGAAGCTTCAGCAAGAAACTAAATGATTCTCAATGAACCATGAAACAAAAGTTCAGGCAAACAAATGTTTTCAGTGAATTCATTTTATAAATTTAAATAGTTCAACTTACTAATTCGAAATATGAACTAGAGCCTTAGTAGCCAGAAACTGTTTATGAATTCAAAAAGTAACGGTAACGAAATTTTCAAACCATAAGAGCACTAACATAGTTGTTAACTTTTTAAATCCAACTGTGAAAACTTTGTATGGTGTGCTTAACAAAAAATCTTATGTATGTGAAAAGGTATTTTTAATAGCAGCTGAAGTGAAAACCATCACTAAAGCGAATGTGTCTTTACTATTTACCTCCAATCTAAAAATCATGATTTTTCAACATTAAACTATCCCTTACCTACTTACTTATCACTTTAGTCCACTACGTGAAGTTTTTAAATGAACACGGCATGTTGTTTTTTTGCTTAGTGCCCATATACCTTAGTTGCATTACTTTATGCAATAATTACTCAACTACAATCTAATATTTTAACGTGACCCATTCACTTCTAGACAATTTTGAGCACAATGTCGAAAATAGATTTGCTGATTATGTTAACTATATACTTCACAGAATTCCACTACCAAGCTTATAAAATAAGCTAACAAAAAATTATATTTTGTTGAATTTTAACGATATAACCCGATGTAGGTTTATGAATAGGTTTAAGACTAGTGATAACAACATCCAACTATTCAAACCCTTTTAATAAGATTAACGTTGAAATCAGTCACTTGATACTTAGAAGTCGAATATGAAAGGTAAAAGCAAATTCAGTAAGGAATTTACAACTTTAGGAACAAAAGATTCAAAACGAAACATCAACTGAGCACAACCCTCAAATATAACACAGAGTTGTACAGAAAAGATATATATATGCATATATTAAATAACTAAACAAAGGATGCGCAAACCTCACTTTTTTTCTCATAACCGATTTCCTATGACTACTACTTCCTAAGCCAATAAATCATCGAGCTCTAGCATAATAATCAGGAAAATACTCTAAAACGTTCCCACAGATGGAAACACAAAACGAAACCCAAAAGCTTGAGATACGGCATACATATCTGAAGATGAAAGTCCTTTCAGACTTTTTTGTTCCTTAAAAACACATTTCATCATGCGCCCTAGGAATCGAGTTTTTTTATTTTCTTGAAAAACAATGTGGTACATAGTTTTGTAAATTAAATAGTCGCTGATTTATAATGTTGGGATGTTTTAAATGCGTATAGGAACTTTATATAAAGCAATAAAAATAATGGAATTGATCAAGTTAGACAAACTAGAATGTATCAAAGGATCGTCAAATCAACTGCTGCATTTACTTGCGTAAAAAACCACAACCTAACAGAATAGGCCGATAATTGCCTGGATAAATTCCAAGATACAGATTTAGACTTCAATTAAGTTATTTATTTAAACACATACACATTGGTACAAATGGTGCACCTAAATGTTTATGCGCCACAGGATGTTGTTTTTCTCATGTTAGGACTACGTTTCATATACTACAAGAAGTATCTGCAGGTTGTGTAAACTTATCCGTCTTTAAAATTTGATGAAATTACTTTGGAACGGATTAAATAGAAAGTTAACGAAATAGGACATTCCCAGAACTTACAGAACAAAAAGTGATATTCTAAACACAATACACAGTTATCGTTTGAATATTTTAGTCTCAATAATTCACTCCCTTTTAGAATAGCTTTGCAACAATGATGAGTTCCAAATGTCTCTTTGGATTATACAGCCCTCATTAAAACCAGAAGTCCATCTTATTAGCTTCCAATTACTTATTGGATATTTGAGTTTTTTGATAGACGACTGTTCTGTGGGGTCAACTCAGTTTCCGTTATTAGTCAAAAGGAAGTCCCAAAACCATAATGCGCTGATGCAACACACACAACAAACTTTTATATTTTTATATATTCTCTTCAAAATACGTTCTTTATAGTCTTTAGGTAGCAGAAAAATGTTTTTGAGCACTTCGGACTAGGAGAAAGATCAATACCCAATGAATGAGGCACGACATTACGACCACGAATAAGTGCAAATCAATCGATATAGTTGAAACAATCATCCGTGACAAACAATGAATTGTATTTATCCCATGCTAAAGTTCCTTATGAGCTGCCACACTTCGAAACATTCCACGATTTGATTTTAATTCCATGCACAAACATTAAAAAACCGACCAATGAAACCAAGTACTGTCACATAATTCCACTAAGATAAAACCAGTTAGCAAGTATGCTTAGGAATTCTCCAAGTTGATAGTGAATAGATGATCGTCATAGATCCAATCAATTTTTTCACCATTTTGGTTGCTTCAAGTAGTGGTCAGATTGACGAATATGGATTCTATGACTTTAGAAACTACAAAAAACTAATTCTAATTGAGTTTTAATCCCGCATTATAAAGCAGTAAAGACAGCAACTAAATCAAATGATAAAAATCTGTTCGTTGTGATCTAATCAATATATCAGTCACTTGAGATGATGAATGAATAAAACTACATTACTTTCTACGACAAGAAATATGTAGCACGTAGTTTTAATTGTTATGAAATTTACGAGACCGAGACAAAACTATATAGTTTGAATCTTATAAAACTATGAGCTATGAGACTTTGATGCGTGCATGAAAAATATAATCGCGAAAAGTGCAAACATGAGAAGACAAATGTAAAACCAATCTCTACAATCCCTACAAAATTGAATGGAATTCAGCATATTAGGAAACGAAGATTACACTGAGTGTTGGTTGTCATCGGTTATCCGACCCTACCTTAAACGAAAATATTCAGTCGTAAGTATGTACAGATAGTAACATTATCGATTACCGTAAAAAATTAGACAAAGGATCATAACGAATTATTTGACGCCTATCATTTTGGTTAACATAAAACAACTAATTTACACAAGAAATTATCAACTATAGAGTCATATATGGGCAATTTTAGAAGCTCTTACAGCCTTATTTTAGATGACTAACTGAGAAGTAAAATTGCTGATTTATTTACGACCTTAACGTATGTACAGCAGTTTCATTTGCTTCCAGACAAAACCCAACAGAAATAGAACTTAAACTTTACTAGAATAAGAAACGACTGTTTGTTACTACTAAGCTTTACAGAACATACCCATCCACTTGTTCGCAAAATAAAGTCTCTGAAACGAAATCAGATAGAGCCCTACACTCAGAAGTTGGGAGTTCTATGCACCTAGGATTGTTTAGAGGGGTGCTTCTGAGAGAACATAGTTTTCTGGATCTCATTTAAAAAAAATAATTACAGAGCCAAAAAAGTTGGTTTGCGAAACAAAACTTACCAACAAATCATTTATTGTTTTAAAAGACAAAATAGCAAATCCATCAATAAGGACTTCATTGTATGGCACCGAACTATTTGATACGTCTTTCGGTTTGTTATGTTGTTCTTGGTTTTCGCTTTTGGTAGTCTCAAATTCCTGATCAGTGGACACTTCATTTTGAGCTTTTGTAAATAACCCTGAATGTTCCTCATCTTGAGGAATCGTCCCTCCTGTTGAACACAGAGGCGGGGTGCTCTGCAATAGATTACCGACATGCTCAAATGACATGCAGACGGAGTTAGGTATTTCTAAGGCAGAAGCGATCAAACCGTTTTTTGGAGGACTGTAGCCCACTATGTTTTGTGCAACTGCAGGGGCACTATCATCAATAAAAGGTCCCTCTGCTTTAGTTTCAAGGTTTTCCGCAACTTTATTTTTTTCTTCATTAAATTCCACTCCGTTTACTTTATCAACAGTTCCAGAGTTCTTTTGCATTACGCAATCAAAAAGGATTTCCCATTTACAATGTGCTTTTTTCTCCTAACTTCGCATACAAATATTATATAAACTGAACTATAAATATCATTAGATTAATCCATCACAAAATGTTGTCACTGTTCTTAATTCCACAGACGAAAAACATCAGAATGTAAAACTGAGAAGCAACACAGTCGTTTGAATTTACCACTTAAATTCTGTGACACTTGTATTCTGTGACACTTGTTCTTCTTCATATTCATACAAAAACACATAAGTTGTTCATAAGCTATTAGAAATGCTTTCATATTGCTTTTTAGGTTTTAATGTTTGAGACTCAACCATTTACGTATTTCATGTATTACGAAAGTGGTTTTATTACTTCCACCCAATTGGATGTACTGCAGTTAAAGTGACACCAACAGTACTTTCGTTTACCCAGGCGTAAATTTTTATCCGTTCTGTGTTGACTTTGCTGGTTTTCTTTCCGTTTTCTGCATGTCTAAGCTTAACAGTTCACAGTTCTATTTTTTCTGCATATCAGATTTGTATCCACATGTCTAAGTCACTTGTAACCCTTTTCTCGATGTCTGAACAGCATGAAAAAAGTAATTGCAAAATCATGGTCTGTTAATGCCCCATTGGAAATGGTATGCTGCGTGATGAGTGCAAAAGGCGGTACTAGGAAGTTTGCACGAACTTGACACCAGCTTTAAAATTATTTAACGGAAACCTATTTGTGTGTTTTTACTACCAATACAAAGAGATCACTATCCGATATCATTGTAATAGTGAACTCCACCGAAAAGCATATTGGGATTTGAAGCCAAGTTAGTTCAAATGATGCTCTACATCGACACACAAATTGATGTGCATTACAATCAAGTACACTGAAAAATCACTTACATGAGATACGGAAGATAAGTTCACCTTCAGGTGTATGAGGAACAGAAACCCAAAAAACAGGCTTATTCTTTTCCCTGTCCTCTAAGCGGTGGTAGCCAAGGAACACCTAAAAATTCTAACTGTTAGGCTAAGTTAATTTACCGAAGAAACAGAAATCCAGCCACCCAATCGATTAGGATTTTACAGTGTGTGCAACGCCTTTGTGATAGATATTCCACCAAAAGCTGATGAAAAAGCAACAACCTAATTTTGTTAAAGAAAAGCCATGTTTAGAACCTATACTTCGGAAGTCGAAGAATGACCAGAGCCTAGGAAGTAGAATTTGTGATCCTAAGAATCCGCTTTAGGCCTAAAATTGTTGTGCACTTTCGCGTAGTGGGGCTTCGAACCTTGATTATATGCGACACATAGATGAGAGTGATTGTGCATTCCTAGTCTCCGATTTTCATGTCAGCCGAAGCCCGAACGAACATTTGGAAAACAAACATAATAGAAGTTATATATTCAGCTGCCTCAGTTGTGTGGTGAATAGAACCAACATCATTCATGGAAACGGAATGGGATGTATTCAGATATTTGTACACGAAAGTTACGGCACTGCACATTCCTTGAACTACTCAAGGTAATCCGAGAAATTTTTACTTGTGACTCAGTAAGGAGGTACGCATCTGTCTTAAGGGGCAGGAAACCGAGAGAGAAATATAGGAGACTCTGCACTCATGAAACAAAACTTCAATATCTGGAATATCACAGCGCTTATGAACCGATGCAATGAAAGTCTAGAAGATTGTACGAAGAAAAGCTAGTTCGGAAGTCAATCAAAAAGCCTAAAGCGTTTGTACTCGTGCATAAACCATAGGACTGATAGAACAGCCACTACAAGGAGGCAGTAAAACTGCTTCATTTATGAAAGACAACTAAAGTAAAGCTAAGGTATTCGCAAACTACCTTAGTCTAATATATACCACAACGATCTCCTTGATTCTAGTTCCTACAAACTCGTCATGTACTTTCTGGACTCTATGAGCGTGAATCAACTTAATTCTAACGTAGTAAATTCATGGGACCTGACGAAAAGTATCCTAGATTACTTGGGGAACTAGCGAGTAGCATTGAGAATCCCAAGAGCATATCTGTTGACCTATATGAGACGCAAAGTAAGCTTCCGAACAACTTGAAGAAAGCCATGACAGGTCCCATTCACAAAACAGTTGCGATGCACAAAGCGGAGGACTATCATCCAGTCTAACTATCATGGTTGTGAAAGGTTACGCATAAATAGATATTTAATTGCCCAAAATAAAAAGCAGCACGAGTGTAGAACTTGTTATTCATGTCTCGAAAATCTGTTAGTAGTACGTAAAACTGAATTTTATCATCTCGATTTCATGTGATAGCCAATAATTGTTATCTGCACTGTTAAATTTACTCACACTGCATGTGCTCATCGAGTGGCTGATTCACGCTTTGGTAATATCTCCCTTATGCACAGCCTAGTATGCATTGCTCTGAAATGTTGCGCTACGCGGGAGTAACATTACTGCAATAATATCGGTAAATACAAAAACCTGGTTCATATCGGAATTTCTGACGACAAGACATGATTTAATTTCCTGATCTCTTCAGAATTATGGATAGTACGGTGTTTATTACGCCTAAGAATCAAGTGTTATGGTGTGTTTATATCCCCTCGTAACCCTACATACAAAGGGGAAAATGTCATTTCATTACCTTAACTTGTATGATAGATACTTACTTCGTTAAACCTCATGTATAACTAATACTTCAAAAGCCTTGTGGCAGATGATTTTTCCACATAAATATGCAAGAAATTTTAATTTCTACAAGTTCTTTCAGTGATGAAAATCTCCGAAATAATGAACTTTCACTTCGCAGCCCAGTGTCGTCGGATCAACTATTGTAGAATAAGTAGCAGTTATAAGCGACAACACTTAATCTCTCCAATTTACCAAACAATTAAACAATAGAATGCAGGTGTCCATAAGACTATCATAGATAATCGTCAGATTATTCGTGACTATTGATCCAGGAGCAGCACTTTAAGCAATGACTCGTCTGGCTTCCAGCTATGCTTCATTTAATTATCATCTACAAACAATCTGAACGGCAAACTGACATGTCAATTCACACTTTGTGACGCTGAGAACACATAAGATGATCCAAGGCTACGTAACACAGTATGTGGGAACTCGACGTAATCATTTTAAAGGATTCTATCACCTGTCATCCCAGCTTCTGAGAAACGACAACAGTAGAAGAATCCGTTCAATATATTGGCTTCAATAATCGCACAACGCTTAACTAGGAGTAAGAAAGAATCAACTAGGCGAACCTGGACAGTTTCCTGACCGAAAAATGGGCATGTACACTGAATTTTCCCCTTACACCAGGCTCTAGTCGAGTCAACATTTATGGTGCACTTACAGAAGCCTTAACTGCAAATGGTGTTTGTGAAGGTTTTCCACTTTCCTCGTTATCATTTGACTTCGTCTCCATACTCCTTTCGAAACATAACTCTTGTCGTTTAACTATTTACGAAATGACGCTTTGCTGACTTTTGGTATGCAGATGATACAGTCCTGCTAAGTGAAAAATCTGACAAACGTCAGGATATTCTGACTGTCTTAAGCGGCAAAGTTAATATATTTGGTTCTGGAAGTGTCATTCTTACTGTTTTCACATGCACTCCATTGACTTACAACCGGTTTTACCTTGCCGTCCATTGCTCCATTTATAAATACCACACTACATACTCTTTCCTGTTTACTTTATTTAACATCTTATCGCCACGAAATCCTAAATGCTTGTAGTTTGTTTATAAACACATAATGTTCACGATTAAAATTAGCTGTATTACAATGATGCCCCACCCATATTGTATAAGTTGGAAAATCAGGAGAAGCTTCTGATACGGAACACATAGTAATAATGTTTCTCACCATGATATTTAATATAGAGCTTTGAGTGGAACCAAAGATATTATCTAACAACCATTTAAAATTAGCCTAACAACAGAAAAGGAGGCAGGATAGAGCTACTGACCAGCAAATATTGATAGTGTAGACAATGACTTCAATCCACGCATGTTTTTGGGACAGAGCATTTTGTTTGCTTTTGGCTCTTTTCGATCGACAAGGTGACTAATCAGCGTTACTGAAGTTGCTGTTATACGCTTGCTACTTCTGAGACTCATGTTTCGAGAGATATAGTGAGGTCGCTATTCTACTAAGACAACTCGCAACATGCTAACTCAGACACAGCACAACTTAGAGGTTGGCGTTTGATAAAAAATTTAGACAGTGAAAGATATAACTGCTAGTTTTTTTAAAAACTTTACTTTTCTCACTGAACTTTCTCAGAATGAAAGGACCTACAAATGAGCATTACTGACTACTGCAAATAAATAATAATCCAGTTCGTACGTCACAACGTTAATGGGATTACAATGCTGATTAAGGAACAATAAAAAGAGATATATCATGTAAAAGTATGGGTAAGTTGCCTGAAGGGACCGGAATAATACATTATTTTAGATGGACACTGGTGGGAGTTATTTATGATGCTTAGAATAATAACCTAAAATATACAGCCATAAAGGACGTAGTTCAAACTTACGTAATGAATGACCAAAGGAACAGATAAGTAATAATAAACCTTGCTGCCATAGAAATTTAAATGATAAAAAATGTATGACAAACGCAGTCAAACATTTAAATCATACCGGAATTATCTTGTTAATAGTAAAGTTGGTCGAATTTTATTCAATTATAATTTTAAATATGTTCATTCTTTGCGGTTTACCTGATATATCAGATAAAGTGAATCACTTACAAGTGGCCAAATGAGAGGGCCATTTGACGACATAAGGGGTTAGATAGCAACATCCATTATTATAATCAAATGAACCAGTGACGGTTTTACGAAACATTTTGTTTACGCGTACTTTTGTAACACAGGTTCCTACTTGTCGGTCACCATCTTGCTTTTGCTTCTCTGTACCTCAACCCATCTCCTTGGCACGTTGAAGAATCACTCCAATCCCATGAAATCGTCAGATAATACACTTATTTCATCTGGCCAGTCCCGTTCTTGTCTTTCCGTTAAAAAATTTTCGATAACGCTTCGGGCCCAAACTTAGTTGGTTTGTAGACGCGTTCATAGTCTTCTGCGTCGAACATCTACAATATGCCAAAACACGAATATATGTTTGTTTGCTTATGGCCCCTTACGATCTAGAACGATGTAACTAATCAATGATAATAA